AGAGATTGTGAAGGTGCAATTATTTTCTTAGGGTATTTAACAGGGCGGAATAGTTATCACAGGTTTTTTGCATTCGCATGTCCATATGACAATTAAATATATCAATTATATGCCTTTTCTTTTGAAAGAAAGATTTAAGATCAAAACGTCTTCTGCCTCTATGCAAAAACGGAGGTTGTGATAGAGTTCAGAATACGCAGAATAAAACGTTGAACGGCTTTTTTCCACTTGTATATTTGGTAAACTAGTCGTTAATTAGGTCTGATATTGATCAAAATTGACAGAAAAACACAAACACAAAATTTGTATCGGTTTCCTGTGCTTTTTGTTCCCAGTTTTATTATTTCCGATGAATAGATTGATATAGAAAATAACAAATTAAAATATTTCCTTGTGTAACAGCTACAACAAAAGAGTAAATTAATTGATGTACTCAGCATGACATTTAACATATTAATAATAACTCTGCTTTTATTGCCTAGATTTGGAAATATAATTGGAATTTCAGAGAAGTCAGATGGAATTTGTTATGATAACAGGTAAATGACAGTAATTCTTCATTCATTTCGTACGTCCGAAGCGCTTTTCTGGGTGTACCTTCATTAGGAACTCTCAAACCTAAATGTTTTCAAGTCGATGATGTATAAGAATTGAACACGTGAACAAAAGGGGCCGAAACTAAATTGAAACGAATTTGATTTTAAGTGGAAGTTGTAAATTATATCGACCACGTACAGCTGTTCTCCTCCTCCTCCTCATCATCATCATCAATGATTTAGGGGAAATACTGATAGTTATATAGTTGCATAACAATGTATAATGTAAGGACCTCCTTTTCTAAACTCTGAACAATATACAACTTTGGTTTTTTTCAGAACTAGTTTGCATTATACCTTAGTATGTTGCCGGAATTACGAATTTATTGACGATGGGTGCAAAGGCAAGTAGTTTATCGTATTTCATGTATAGCCTTACGTTGATTTCTTAATATATGTGTCAGCTATTTTTTTACACTGTATCAGAAAATGGTAAATTAAAATATGTAGTGTTATGAAGATAAAATCACAAAACTCATTGAAATGAAACAAGATAAGCAATGATTGATTGTCATAAAAGATTGCCAAAAAAAAAACAAAAAAAAACAGTATTGATAGATTGGACAAAATTTCATTGAAATTTTCAAACACTAGTACCCACAATAATTTCTGCTAATGAAATTATTCAAAATCACCCTTTACAACCATTAAGTTAAGAGAAAAAAAAGATTTCCGAGTCTCAGAAATAGAGAGATTTTCTTACAATGAAAATATTCACGGCTTCAATATACATGTAACATCTAGAAAACTCTTAATAAAAAAGTGTCGGAATCCTGCAAGTAGGCAATTATCTAATTTGGCAAAACACTATCAGAAGTTTGTTTCAAAAGACCACTCTATCTTTTTTAAGCAAGAACAAGAGAAATACACCACTTGGTACATAAATTGAGGCCTTTGTGCTAATTACGAACCTGAAAATATAACGATTAATTCTGTCGCATGCACATACTGGTAAAAACGATCCTAGGACGAAGTAGGACTAATTTCCCCTAAATGTGTTTCACTCATTGGCAATTTACTAAAAGTCCACAATTTGTATGTGCACTTTAAAGGGGCATAAGCTACGAGATATAAAAAAAAAGATAATAAAAAAAGATTTTTTTGGTTCAATCATTAATGAAAGGGAAATAGTGAAATAATAATTATCTTTTAGCAGCCAGTTTGGTTCAATTTTGTCAAAATAACTGAGCTAAGAAACATCGTTGATGAATTATTCACTTGTAAGTAAATAATTCGATCTCATTGAATCCGTATTCATGTGAACTTCAATTTAACATGAATGAGCTAGCAGTCGGTTCGATATTCAAATTTAGTTGAAAATTATAAAAGTTAAAATAATCGATAACATTAAAAGCATGATAGTCATAGTTAAAAGATATGTAGGAAATCGTTTTATGACCTCTTCAACCTGTTGTAAATTCTCGTTGTCAAATATAAACCCTTATGTAAATCGGAGGGCTCAAAGTGCCAGTTTGATATTCAAAATTTACAGTGAAAACCTACCGGTTTGAATATCAAACTGGCACTTTGAGCCCTCAGTAAACATAGAAGACAAGTAGTTTGTCCAAATTCCTTTTGGTCTCGTTTATATCTTAATATTAACTAACTATCTGCATAATATTAGGAAGATTGAGAGTTCAGGGGGTCTAGACAACCCCCTGTGCCCTTTGACCTGAATTTTCGACGATTTTTAGTTGAAAAGTGACAATTTAAACCCCCGGTAGATATCGAAGATGACACTATTCTGGGAAATCCTTTTGACATTATCTGTATATATACATAGTCTAAAAGATCATCGAATTTTATGGACATTGAAAGACCAGGGGGGTCTCACCGTCATTTTAGCGGTCTCCGGTAGGTTTTCATTATATATTTTGAATATCAAACTGGCACTTTGAGCCATCCGTAGACATAGAAGACAAGTAGTTTACCCAAATTCCTTTTGGTCTCGTTTGTATCTTTATATTAACTTACTATCTGCATAGTATTAGGAAGATTGAGAGATCAGGGGGTCTAGACATCTCCCTGTGCCCTTTGACCCGAATTTTTGACGTTTTTTAGTTGAAAAGTGACAATTTAAACCCCCCGTAGATATCGATGATGACATTATTCTGGGAAATCCTTTTGATACCATCTGTTTATATACACAGCCTAAAAGATCATCGAATTTTATGGACATTGAACGACCAGGGGGGTCTCACCGTCATTTAAGCGGTCTCCGGTAGGTTTTCACTATATATTTTGAATATCAAACTGGCACTTTGAGCCCTCCGTAAACATAGAAGACAAGTAGTTTATCCAAATTCCTTTTGGTCTCGTTTGTATCTTTATATTAACTTACTATCTGCATAATATTAGGAAGATTGAGAGATCGGGGGGGGGGGGGGGGGGGGGGGGGGGGGGGGGGGTCTCACCTTCATGTTAGCGGTCTCCGCTAGGTTTATTACTATATATCTCTTCTTTTCCTTAATTATTTCTATTTATATTTTTAAACGTTACTAGAGTGATTGTTTTTTGTTTTTGATTCTAGAAATATCATACATAAAAGTACATCTTTGATGTCGTTTTATTGATAAAAATCTATATTTCATAAAGACAAATGTGCGATTTACATAAGGGTTTATATTCGAGAATTTACGACAGGTTGAAGGGGTCATAAAACGATTTCCTACATATCTTTTTACTCCTTTTAACTATGACTATCATGCTTTTAATGTTATCGAATATTTTAACTTTTATAATTTTCGACCAAATTTGAATATCGAACCGACTGCTAGCAGCCGGTTGGATATTGAATATCGAATATCGAATAACGAACCGGCTGCTTACTTCACATTCATCTATTTAACCCCTTAGGTAGAGATGGGTTACGCATGATTTAGGCGTGTTGAGCTATTAAAAGGAAAAGAATGTCAACATTGGAAGTGAAACAAGGATAAACCATTTGGTTAACTGATTCGATCCACAAAAACTCATTTTATATGGGTAAAAACAATGATTAACATATTTTTTTTTTACCTATAATATGAAGTCAAACAGACCTAGAACAATCTATTTATATCTATATTTATGTTTATATCGGTCACCTCGATGGTTAATTAGATGGCGTCTATGCTAAAATACACACGAAATGATGATGCATATTATCGAGTCCATGCATCGTAAATCGTATATTTTATGCTTTTTATAATTTGGATGTACGTTTTAGTACGTTATAAGTTCAATATGAGAATTTGAGTCAAATCGGTGAACATGAATTTGTCGGCTAATGTCCCTTTAAGGTTTTAACAACAGTCTGCTATATTTTATAATTTTCAAGACAAAGTTTTGAGTGCCTACAGATTGCCCATAACTGCAATTTTGACTGATTTTGGCAAATTTCGACTGGTTATCCAAAACATATCTAAAAAGGGCATCCTTAACCCAGATCAAAGTACATTTATGTAGGAAAGAAAATACTATGAAAATGTATTTGGAATACAATTTAATTAAGTTTGTTTAAAGACGTCCTCGACGCAAAATTTACAAAACCGTGTAAAATTGCGAAATTATCTTCAGCGGTATTATATTACAATGCATAACCTTTTTATTTAATCAAAATACATTATATGAGAATATTGATTCCCTTATACTGCAAATGACACTTAAATTTTGTTAGTACGAATTAGCGCTTTCTTTTATTAACTTGTATCAGGGACGCCCAAATTAACTTTTATCAGGGATGCCCAAATTAACTTTTATCAGGGACGCCCAAATTAACTTTTATCAGGGACGCCCAAATTAACTTTTATCAGGGATGCTTAAACCAAAACAATTGAAAATCAGGAAATTTTAAATACGATGAAACGTTCGGGGATATAATCGAATACATTAGCTTTTTACAATTGTCATAGCTTGAGCCTGTGTTTGAAACATATAAGGGGAAACTAGTATTAGCTTTTTCTGTATGTAGAGTGTATATAATTTGTAAATAAAGGTACCGTTCCTAACTCAAATCAAAGTAATCTTAAATGTAGTGTTTGATTTGGGTTATAGCAGCAATAAACACGATGTATTATTATACATGAAAGATTCATTACGAATGTTACCTTTTTCGTATACGTCTGTTATCATTGTTCCTTCGTTCTTGGGCTTTTTTTCTGTAAACATCGTACTGGATGTGCATGAAATATTTTTCACTGGACATTAAGAAAACAACACCTTATCAATCTTTCTGTACACATATGGATATGGTTATATGAAACGAGATCTACGAGTACTAATTTGAATCGTATATTCGATAAAATATATATAATAAATAGAATTCTAGTTACTTTGTAATCATTTAAATTGGTAAAAACTCTATCAATTTACTTTTTAATGTTTTGTTTTGAATACAATCGTAATATATTTATCACTTTTAACAGCATGTGGAGTGGGATATCATACAATAGAGGCAGGTAGAGAGAAGTGTAAACCTTGTCCTCCACACAAATACGGAAAAAAATGTGGTAATAATTGCATCTGTAAAGCAAATGAAAGGTAACAATGTGCAGTTACAAATGTACACGAAGGTACAATGTTGTCGGCACCTGAAAAATAAGCTTTCATCAAAGGCAAAAGCTTAAAATTATCCATTACCTGTTTAGATTCACGTACCTTAACTGCATACAAGAGCCCGCTGTTTTCTGGAATTTTGGTAGGACGAAAGCATGTTCTTCTGATCTGAGCAACTTGACAAATATGCCCTCCTGTTTTAATTTCATACATACTGTTTTGTTATTATTCAAAAGAAACTTTTTTCAAGGGTTCTTCATCTTCAGTGATCTCTTATTTGAAACCAAACTTTGATTTTCCAAATATTTCACTTATTGACAAAGTTACACCTATGCGTTGAACTATTTCTTTTTAGAATATATACTACTTTTCTAACTACATGTATGTTCTTTCTAACCGGGCTCAAATAAATGGTTCTAAACAATATCATACCTATCGGCTTCCAATTTGTTGACATCACAATGTATATTTTATATATTATACAGTTTTCTATCAATATGATAAATCACTTTGACCATTGCGTGCACATTTATATTTTAGGATGAATTCAAATGTATATCGCCGGCCAACATTTTATGAACATAAATTCGTTTGAAAATATATGATATTCATCAGTACAACGGATGCATACATGTAGGGCTTGCACCTTTTATATAAAACAAGAGTGCCATGCTGATATGTCACGCCTGCTTTACTTTACTGGCCTTGATTGATTTTATGTTGATATATAGTAATAAAAGTCATCAGGATTGTAAGAGACACTCGTATATTATAAATACGAATGGCAGATATATTCTAAAGAACCACCAATTCTTTTCCAAACTCCATGGGATTTTAAAGTTAGAGCTGTAACAGGTTTTGAACTTATGAATAAGAAATGGCTGAATTGAGCGAAATATGTTTTTAATGCCCCCGCCCCGCCCGAGAGGAGCATTAAGTTTTACCCTTGTCCGTCCGTACGTCGGTCCGTTCGTACATCCGTACGAACGTCCCAAAATTAGTGTCCGTTCTCTAACTAAAGTTTGCATCAACCAAATATTATGAAATTTGTTACAAAATGCTTATTACCACTAAACACAGATCAAGTTTGAATTTGGGTTGCGTCACTTGTTCTCTGGTTATGTCCTTTTATAAATAGGAAAATTGGCAAATTGCAGTTTCCGTAATCTAAATTTGTTTCGCCTCAACTAAAATTTATGAAACTTATACACAATGCTTATTACCACCAAACTCAGATCAAGTTTGAATTTGGGTGGCGTCACTTTCACCGGTCTCGAGTTATGTCCCTTAAAGTTAATAAAAGGCAAAAAATTATAAATTTGCCGTTTCCGCATTCTTACTTTAGTTTGCCTCAACCAAATGTTATGAAACTTTTACACAATGCTTATTACCACCAAACACAGATCAAGTTCGAATTTGGGTGGCGGCACTTTTGTCGTTCTTGAGTTGTGCCGTTTGTAAATGGAAAAATTCATAAATTTGCCGTTTCCGCACTTTAACTTTAGTTTGCCTCAACCAAATGTTATAAAATTTCTACACAATGCTCATTATATGTTTTTTTTACCAAACCTGATCGATTTTTAGAATTTGGATGGCAACACTTTTGTCGTTCTCGAGTTGTGTCTCTTCTTAAATTGAACAATTGCAGAATTTGACTTATATTTACAAGCGGAGCATCTATATCCCATGGACACATTTTTCATTTATTTACTACATACAGTTTCTTCCGTATACCCGACACACAAAAAAGTCACGTTAGTAGAATAATAATCATCTAACTTTTAAAAGGTTTGGAAGCTAGAGGGCGAAAACGATTTTTGTACACAGAAATGACGAAGTTGACCTAAGTTTTCACCAAAATTTTCGCTGTACTTAAATCCATCAGTGACGAAATGATGTGGATGTAATCAACTATAGGGCACCGATCGGCATTCAACAATGGGCAAGATCCATAACGTATATGTAGTAAACTATAACCCCGCCACATTCTGTACGTGCTTGTCGCAGGTCAGGAGCCTGTGATTCAGTGGTTGTCGTGTGTTGTTGTATATTTTATTTATTTTTCGTTTATTGTTTTGTTCATAAATCAGGCCGTTCTTTTTTTGTTTGACATTTCTTTTACATTTGTAATTTCGGGGCCATTTATAGCTTACTTTGCGCATGTTGAGGTATTAGTTTTGGTCATTTTTGAAGGCTGTACGGTATCATTTTGTCTTTGGTGGAGAGGTGCCTCATTGAAAATCATACCACATCTTATTTTTATATTAACAGCCAAAGTATGACCAAATGAGAATTCAACGGCCTAGAATGCCTTAATTTGTTATTAAATGAAACAAAATCATTTGTTATCTTGGATTGTACATATTTATACATGCTACTTTTGCATTAATTTTTATTTATTTCAGTTGTGACAATAAAAATGGGAGGTGTATTCCATGGACCACATTCAGAACATATACTGAATATTGGAATTACACAAGTAAGCGTTATTTACATATAATTGAAAGACGTATATGACCCAATTAAAATCTTACATTGGAAAATTGCTTACATATAGAATCTTGTGGTCATTTTCACTGAACTAGCACACTGTTTTATTTAGGGGCCAGCTGAGGACCATCTCCGGGTGCGGGATTTTTTCGCTGCATTGAAGACCCATTGGTGGCCTTCGGCTGTTGTCTGCTCTTTGGTCGGGTTGTTGTCTCTTTGACATATTCCCCATTTCCATTCTCAATTTTATCATACACCAAAATGGTACATTTTCACGAATCGTATCATATTAACAACATAGTTTTTGAGTAATAGTTATCCCATTGACACACCCAGTCCGGGTAGTTTTAGTAACTCCTTTTGTTCGTTTTATGAATACAATGTATACATAGGGATTATGTTTTAAAACTTTAACAAAACTTACTAACTCGTTAAATAGCAACTTGTTTCGGAAATCTCGACTAAATTGATTGCGCTGAAAGAAACGGTATTTTTAATGATTTCCACAGTTTAATATTGTGTATGTAAAAATAATGGCTTTTGGATTTGGCAAAGTGAAAATCTTTCATAAATGTAAATTTTTGTTACTGTACAGCTATCACAAGGATTTTCAAATAATAGCGTCAACGTGGAAAAAGTGCCAAACAATTCTACTGATGGAAAGGATACATGGGCTTATTGTCTGCAACACAAGTTTTCCTATTGAATGTATGTGATTCATGTCTAGAAGATAAAAGGATGGCCTTCATGACTATTGTCTGAAAATATTTTTTTTTCATGTATAACCGATGATTGTGCATGCATATAACATAAGAGCTAGATCTTTTGGTACGATTGTATATCAAATAAGTTTTGTTTGCCTCTAATGTCGATTCGTTCCATATATATATATATATATTTGTCTCAGTGTTATGTGTATTTTTTCATATACTGAAATTTCGGTATGTCCATGAAAACATATTTTAACTATTTAAGAAGTTTGTCTTCTGTTAAATATACTGCTGGTACATTGTTTCATAGGATATCAAACGCAATCTACAGAAGAAAGCGATAGACGAATTACAGTTGATGTAAATCTAACAAAACACAAAGGTGAGTCACACAAATCTGTTATAATATTATTTATTTGTATCTCCATTAAAGGAAGAGTATCTGTAAACTTTTAATATAAACTATTTACACATGGTAGCTATCGGTATGGCCAACCATTTGATAATGCCGTAAAGAAGACAAAGTATACGATTCGGAAGTAGTTCTGCATTCTTTATATTTTTTGGTTTTTTTTATGCCAAATGAAAGCAAGTGACCTTCACATATTGCCTGATGCGCGGAAACACTTCTTTGCTAAAAAAAGAAGAGGTTGTTTGCATTACGTTTAAATCTATAAAAAAAACTGCATTTAATTCTTATACATGTTTTTTGTACAAATCCTCGAAATTAAAATGTCAAGTTATTTCAAAACACCCTGAATCTGAAAGTAAAATTTTGACACAGCAATTCGGCAGAAATAGTCTATTTCCCTATTCCGTAATTCACCCTGTAGAGATCCATTTGTACGACTAATTTCCCTTAAAATGGACATACATTTTCATTGACAAGAAAGAGCTATTATATATACAGACAGAGTAAATTTATCTGTATGGAACTAGGTAAATTATTCCTTAAGTTTTTCGAATCTTTTAATTTACCTTTAATCTTTTGATAAGCTATAAAAGCTTGTGACATCTGTGATTATTTTTCTTTTTGAACAGGCACCACGTGTTTTACTAGTTTGTGCAATTTTTATGTATACATTGAAGGAATTAAAAGATGCTCATATATTATAGTTATTGACCAAGCAAGTTGGTATATGTAATTTAATCTACACGGCTAGGAATCCGGGTTAATGGGTCATTCCGACCGTACAAATTAAATGATATGTACCGATTTGATTGATCAATAACTTGTTTTCAACACATGATGCCATCAATTTACATGAACATTTTGGAAATATTCGGACGATATTCAATCTTTAGATTTCTTGTAGGTAAAGAAAGGGAATAATACGTATTTAAGTAGTAAAATGTTGGTAACTTTTTAATTATTAACTTTTTTGATATTCAGACTTTTTCCTAAGTTGTTACAGTATTTGGAGAATTGCGTTTTAATGGCAGATCTTTGATTCTTTCTGTTAAATTTATTCGCAATTTTTATGTAAATTCGTGACGATCAATCAAATCACATAAGTTTTCTTTAAGGTCGACAAGTTAAAAATTCAATACAACATAAGTGCTGAGTGATCATTTGAACTGACATAAAGAATTAAGAACTTGACATATTACTGTCTATAGTTGAACGTCTTATTCTTCTTAAAATAGCGATAGCAAAAATCATTATCATGTTCAAATTTATTTCAGACGATAAAACAAAAAGACTTATAATTAAATTTTGATCCTTACTGTTTATCAATGGGTATGTCGTGTTTAGTTTGACAAAACAAGCGGATAAGAAAAAAAATGTATGCAAAATAATATTTAATGTATTGATAGTAAACAAAGCATAGGCAGTGGAATAAAACATTCATTTCCCTTTGCCTCGGGAGGTATGAAGATTTGCTCACCCTCGAAAAATCATATTTCCCTCGGGCAGAGCCCTCGTGAAATATTAATATTCTTGGGTGAACAAATCTTCATATCTCCCTCCGGCACGGGAAATAAATGTATAATGTTTTCCGACCGTGCAAGTCCCTCATGGGTAGTCAAGGTCATTTTAAAAAACCTCGTCGTCGACAATATGTTGCCCTCTAGATGTGTTTAGTGGTTTTGTCGTTTGATTGCTGTCTCATTAGCGTATAACCCACACCTCCTACAGTTTTAGTTTTGTTTGATGTACTTCAATTGGTGTATGACAAATTATAAATAAAAAGGTATTGAGTATTGATTAATTGGCTTTCTTTCCCTAAGGAATATGCTCAGAAGAAGATTAATCGAAAAGAGATGTACTTAAATTTATGGTGCAAAGTAAACAACAAAAGAAAAAATAGTTTCACTTTTCAATCTTAAACTTCTCCCCTTCGCCCTTATTTTTTTCAACTTTATTCATTCAGAAGACATGTCCTATCCAAACGAAGTCTGATTGACCTCCAAATTACTAATTATATACTTGAATATATACATGTACCTCATTAGATTCGATCCAAAATAGTCACTTAAATGGAATATATATCTAAAAAGTCGTAATGAATTCCATTTGGAACAAAACTAATCCAAATCAGGTTTCAGCTATTTTGGATATTTTAAGAAATTACAAACACAAAAAAATAAAAACATATCTTGTTTGACTTTGAAAAACTGATTTAAGATTTAAATCTACACATAATATCATAAAGTGTTCTAAGGAATGAGAAGCACTTTCCATCTCATAATTTGAAACGACAAAGTGTATACAAAATTTTTGATAATTGATCTCTTATAATGTAATTGCAGGGTCAATGGCGGATTTCAAAGAGGGGCGAAAAGGGCTCGTGCCCCCCTTTTGATTGGAAAATATATAATGTATAGTCCTAAAATCTAACTTTTTCTTATAGAATTACGCCGTTATGCTTTTGAAAAATGCTGGATCCGCCACTAAAGATTAAAGTACATTTGAACTGTGCATTATATTTGAGGTATAGTTAATGCACATCTTAGCTGTGCATTATCCAGATTATAGCACAGTTAAAACAAAGAGAGTTTGCCTATGTCATGTGTTAACAATAAGAAATGCATCGGGCCACATTTGTATGTCTAGAATCTTTGTTTGAAGCATTACTGGGTTAACGACCAGTTGTCTTGCTCATGTATTGTTTTGCTTGTTGTCATTGTCACTTAACGAGTTATGCAAAAGAAGAGCCAAGTCGAAATATTCACCCCTTTGATTTTTTTCTCTGACTTGCATGTACAGTTCAGCATTGTCGAGGATAGGAGATTAATTAGGTGTATCATGAAATTTCAATCAGCTAGACTAATTGACTGCATGGTTGCTTAATTGTAACAAATAAAGTTACCAACACTGATACTCTTGGATTTTAGGAACAGTCACTGTAAGATCCCGGTACTTGAACAGGTTGAGTTTGTAATTCCTTTTGTCTTTTTGATGCTTTTAACGCTGCAGTTTTTGAAGTGTGTTTCAGGTCATATTGTTGACCCTGTTTTATTTTTCCTAGTGATAAAAACAAAAAGAATATATTTGAATAAATACAGAATATTGCTTTGTACTATAAAAAAAGAATCTGTCAACTAGTAACCTCTGAAAATGCATGGGAATAGAGATGGCAGATACCAAGGGGTCATTCAAATTAAAAGTCATAAGTGGAAGAAAAGCTGAAAAGCCATGGCAAAAAAAAACGTAAAACGACGAAAAGACGAACAAGTCAACAAAACACTACTTAGAAAACTAATGAATGAGCAACACTAGGCTGTACTCACCTGCTCCGGAAGGGTAAGCAGATCCTGTTCCATATGTGGCACATGTCGTGTTGCTCATGCAAATATAAATCCATAGATACTTTTCGTTAAATGAGGTTGCAATCAAGGAAAAGGGGGCGATATTGTGGTCACGACAACCGGAACAATTATACGTGGTCACCTGTAACGCATATTTCAAGACTAAATATTCTTCTGTCATGAATGAAATATTAAGTTTATGTAAAGCTAGTAATTTATTAAATTACACCTATAATGATAAAAATAATCTTTATTAAAGAATATGTCATGAAGCAGACAGCTAATAATTTTTCGATGTAGTATATACATTACCAAATAAAAAATAATAATTTTGAACATGTGTATCAAGCTGTGACCTTCAGAGGTGATATGTATTGCAGATCGGTGTTATGCGTTGATATGAGATAAAATAAAACGTGAAAATTAATTTTGCCATGAAACACTTATATTCTGAAAAAAGTTCCCCACGAACCATGCCAGATACTAACTTTAATTATACCACAGGAGTCCCGATTTCGGAAAGGTCTACACAATGTATAATTTTTTTTAAACACCGAATTTATGCTGAATCATCAATTTTATTATTTGTCATTAAACATAGATCAAACGCCTATATATATCATGTTTGCCTTGTCATTATTTGCTTGGGAAGCATCCCATTTTGTCCGGTATAGAACCAGTCTACAATTGGCGAGCGATATCTTTTTGCGTCAAAAATGAACTAATTTGCGCCACAACTTATTATTTGCGCCAATGTTACTTCTGTGCCACTTCATATAAAAACTATAGGTATCATTTGCGCCAATAAAAATCATCTGATTGTGCCAATTTTATGAATGTATTTATTTTTACTGATATATATCAACTAAATGATTGACATCCCTCCTCCTTCATCAGGGCTTGGGACCGACAGTTTCTTGAATTATGATTTTGATACAAAAAATATGCTGAATTTAAACGTTCACTCATATGATATAGAGTTTAAACTATAATATGTCTCTGTTAAACATTAAACCAAAGGCTGGTATTTGTAACGGAGAACAGACACATATTCCTTCCTGCTCACTTCTCTCACAAATTGATTCTGTCCCAATTGACCAAGGGTATGGCAAGCCGTTCTCGTCAAAACTATGTTTAAACCATTTTTTGAAAAATGTACACACTGAAAATTAAAAAAAAAACACACAGAGATTAAAAACCTAAAAACACACACTGAGAATTTAAAATTACACACTGAGATTTCATAAAGACGCACTAAGATTACAAAAAATGAAAAACACACACTGAGAATTGAAAATTACACACTCTGAATCGAAAATTACACACTGATATTTGAAAAAGACACACTGAGAATTCGAAATTACACACTGAGAATTTAAAATTACACACTGAGATATTGTGCGCACTTTTTATGCGCACATATCTAATTAGCATACGTAATCTAAATCTATTACAAGCTTAAACACCTAGGGGATATAACTCGTTAGTCCTTCAATTTGGCGCCAAATGTTTTATTAAAAAAAAAAACATTAGAAATACAACGTATAGAAAAACTGCGTTATTAAAGACCAATAGAACAAGAAAAATCCCTACTTACTCTTATTTCAAAATATAACCAAATGGTGAAAAACTTTACCAAAATTATAAGCAAACATTGGAACAATCTGCAATAAGACAAACAATCGCGGCAGTAAAATTTTTACCTAAGTGCCTATTATAGCATATAAAGTAACAAAAATATAAAGGATTACTTTGCGAAATCAGGGTAACAGTTGAAAAACTTTTATGAAGGGACCCATTCTTAATCAGTTTTAAGCAAAAAATCCCGATACACTGTTGATAATATTAAGATGAATTATATGTCATCTGCACTATTATTTGTCTGTTTCTCTTTTTTTTTTGGCCATGGCGTTGTCAGTTTGTTTTCGATCTATGAGTTTGACTGTCCCTCTGGTATCTTTCGTCCCTCTTTTATAGGCAACAAACTTATGAATACGAGTTAGCAAAAAGCGATGTTAAGTCTTGAAATTTATTACGAATGTTGGTTGAAGGAACCGCATTTCATTATAATGACAAGAGTTCGGGAGACCGAGATATTAATCTGTTGAATTATTCATCTCATGAACATTCATTAGTAATGTGCATGTTGATCTCTGAAATCTCAGTGTGTTAATTAACAAGTGTGTGTTTTTCAGTTTATTTCATCTCAGTGTGTCTTTTGAAAATCTCAGTGTGTAATTTAAAATTCTCAAGGGTGTGTTTTTCATTTATGTCGAGTCTGCAACTTTTGTCGTAAAAGCGAGACATAGCGATTCTACATTCCCTCGGCGTCGTTGTTGTCGTCGTCGTCGTCGTCCGGCGTCGTCGGCGGCGTCCACAAATATTCACTCTGTGGTTAAAGTTTTTGAAATTTTAATAACTTTCTTAAACTATCCTAGATTTGTACCAAACTTGGACAGAAGCTTGCTTTTAATCATAATAATGATATCATCCAGAAGAAAATTTTGTAAAAAAAAATCCTGTTTATCCGTATTTTACTCATATATGGACTTAGTTTTTCTGCCAGTTAACATTACATTCACTCTGTGGTTCAAGCTTTCAAAATTTTAATAACTTTTTTAAACTATCCTGGATTTGTACCAAACTTGGACAGAAGCTTGTTTATGATCAAAAGCTAGTATCTAGAAGGAAATTTTGTAAAAAATTATCATAGTTCCTGTTTTTCCGTAAATTACTTATAAATGAACTTCCAGTTAACATTACGTACAGTCTGCAGTTAAAGTTTTTAAAACATTTATTAGCTATAGATTCATAACCTTCTTGGATTTTTACCAAACTTGAACAGAACTTCTTACAATCAAAAGATAGTATCTAGAGGAAAATTTTTATTAATTGTTTCTCCATTTTTGTTGAGCCTGCGACTAACAGCAAAAGTAGGCGAGACACTGGGTTCCGCGGAACCCTTACGAATTTTTTTAAATCTCAGTGTGTAATTTTAAAATCTCTGTGTGTAATTTCGATTTCTCAGTGTGTTATTTTAGGTTTTTAAAACTCAGTGTGTTTTTTTTTAATTCTCAGTGTGTAATTTTTCGAAAAAATGGTTTAAACATAGTTTTAACGAGAATGGCTTGCCATACAAGGGAACAACTTGTGTTAAAAGAGTGTAATAACATAATCAAAGCGATAATTAAAAAAAATATACTATAGTCTAGTGAGACATTCGAAATATTATATGACGTGAAATCAATAAATTTACGTTATATAGCTGGAATTTGCATTATGAAGATGTCGATTTAAATTAATATAAAATAATTATCATTTTTCAATATTTGCTTTCATATCAAGGATAATGATTAATTGTTACATATTTCTATAGAATTACTACTTACCTACTTTTTTTCTCGCTACTATTTAACTGTTAGGATTTTACTATTCGTTTTTGTTGAAATTTTGAAGAAGATCTCTTTTGGTTATCTTGTATTGTGAGCAACGATGATCCTAAACAATGCCGGGGTTAACTATCCACTATTGAGTCTAAAGTCTATTTTTTTCTGTATTATGGTCAGAAATAACCACACTTGTCAATACAGACCACACATTGACATAAGCGGAGAGTGCACTATGAATCGAAATTCATCAGTATTGAAATGTAGGGTCAGTCAGGTCGTTGATTCGAATGAGTTTGAGATTAAAAGACAAATGAAGAAGAGAGGCAAATTCATCAAAAGTCTATAAGGTTGGGGTAAAACAGAAGACGCCGGAATACTATTGCAATCGATGAGAAGTCAATAGTTATTTACTATGTCCTAATTTCACTTTTGAATAACAACATGTTTTCGAAATAACATTTAACACGAGTTCATGTGTAACGGAGATTTGATAACAATGAATGCATTTTGTAATAATTTCCCTTTAAAATAGCAACAGTGTACATGTTGTATTAAGAGGTCAAAGAAATCAAAAGGATATTCAGACTCGAAACTCGATAACAAATTGTCAACGCCATGGCAAAAAAAAAACGACGAAAAGACAAACAGTCTACAAAGCACAACATAGAAAAGGTTAAAGACTGAGCAACACGAACCCCATCGAAAACCAGGGATAATTCCTGGTGCTCCGGAAAGGAAAGCAGATGATACTCCTTATCGTTGTTTTCAGTCGTCTCACTGTCTATATCACTCTGCTCAGCTCTTCCTAAAATTGCATATCACGGCTTTGTGACGTCAAATACGTTGACCCGGTCCTAATAACTTTGAGACGGACATATCACCGAAGTTATAATGAATGAACCGACGTTGACAAATTTTACCCGAATTTAACAAGTCACCTTCCGGTTTGCTGGTAAAACAAAGAAAAACACTTGTTTCTAACATGCAAAATACAACTATATCACATCCGTCGTGTTGCTAATGTAAGTACAAATTTGATAATTAATAAATCTCGTTCGATTATGTAAAAATCGAGGAAAAGGGAACAGGATTGTGCATGTTACAATAATTGGAACATATCCGTCGTTCTTTTTAAAACAGATATTCCATAACGGTCAACCAACTCGTGATGGCATGCGTTAAATTTTCATTTTTAATATGGTAGTTCAAAGAAACCCTATTTAGTTATCGCGAAATCGAGACGGATGAATATTGGACTTTCTTTCCGAAACACATGTATAATCACTTGTTCCATTTTTATGACTTGAGTTAAAATGGACCGGATTTTCTGAATTAATTCGTATATCTATATATAAATGAATTTCAGTGGCAAAACTGCTTCAATAAAAGAAACCAAGCCCAAAATATAAATGTAATATTAATTATTCCATTTTACATGATGAAACAGCACATCACAAAATAGGATAAAATCATCAATTTAAATCATCTCAACCAAAGAACTGATCAAAAAGGGAATGTCGCAACAATTTAAAATAATGTCAACTTCTTTAAGTTTTAAATTAATAATAAAAAGCTTGTGAATTTAAAAAAAACGAAGCGGTTTACAGAAGTACACGAACAATGTGTAAAAATAGTATTGATTGGCTTATATCGTTTTAGTTGCTTTCATGGTTTTATTCATACAAATTGAAAACCTATGACTGAATCAATTGATTTATCTTTCAACCTAAAACAAAATCATTGGATGTATGAATTGAACACCTACTGCAAATATTCAATCTTGAAAGCCAATCATTTTAATATAATTACATTAGATGTATGTTTCAATTAAGTTATTCTTATTGGCTACACTGCAATCTCGCGTTATTCCTTAATCAACTTCATTACACAATACAATTTATCATTCATGATGACACGAGGTCCCACAATAAAGTGCACAGGTAAATTAAATAAAAACTTGATAAAAATCGTGTTTTCATTATCCTAGCTAAAAAATGTAATTATAAGTATTGAATGCTTCTTTTTGTAACTTCATAGGGTTGTAAAAGCGTTGACCGTGCGCACATTTTTAGAATGAAGCGCTTCCGCGCTTCATACAAAATGTACTTCGGTCAACGCTTTTACACCCCAATGAAGTTACAAAAAGAAGCATTCAATTCTTAAATGAATCCTCTACTGATAAACATGATTTCAGATAATTGTAAATATATTTAAAAAGATGGACTTTGATGAATGTTAATAAACTTGGAACGCATTAACAAACGTTTCCAAAATGCCATTTTTATGTTACAAGTAGACCATATGGCAAGCTTGATTCAATGTTTCAAAAGATGATCTAATATCAGGCAAAAAACCCGAAAAGAGATAGCAACAACAACTGACCCTAAGGCTTGTCTTATAAATGCATATCCACATTTAACTTGGCTAAACAAATTAGAACATCAAAAATGCATAGCAAATATAGCGTTTGTTGACAACGAATTTTTGCTGTCTCAGCATAAAACATCGGCCGCTGATTTTCTAAGTAAATTGCGACATTTAACATAATAACTTGATAAAGTCATACTATAGTTTTATCTTCTGTACATGCACTTAGATTTCTTAAGATAATAAAAATTGTAATGTTCATTACTTTATTAATATTTATCCAAGAAATATATGTTTTCCTTCTTTTTCGTACAGCCACTAAAAACTATGCAATACTCATCTACATGATCTGCGCTGGTTTCATCATACTGGTTTTATGTGCAGTTGCAGCGTTTTACAAATACCAAAAGAATGTAAAGAATGTACCGCAAGGTACTATCAAATATGGAGAAAGAGGTTCAGATATTCCGCCAATTCCACCACGACCAATGCAGCCGAATGTGTTTATTGAACTACACGATAATGAAAGCGTATATGAATTAATTGATGACGCAAACCTTCTAAATTTTTAAAACTCAAAATACAATAGCATTGCTCTGACATGATGCAATTGTATATTTACACAATGCGATATGTGATTTCTGCATTGCAATATACATGAAAATTAAAGTCTCACAATTATTTGCTAGAAGCACTTTGACTATTACATCGATTTATTCATTACCTTTATAAATGCTGGCTTGTATATATTCTGCATTTGAAATTACTACTTAATGATGATCAACGAGGACGATCACGTTTTTGTTCTTGAACTACAAAATTATGATAATACCAAATTTAGAAAATATTTGTTTTAATCATTCATCATTATGCATTTTTTTTACTCATTTTTTAAAAACCTAATTTTTGTAAGTAAAGATTAATTACTGTGTAAAAAAGGACACCATTAACTGTAATAAAGATAAAAAATTGATATATGAATTGTATGTTCCATTGATTCTCAGCCAACTCTCAACAGAAGAACGACTTCTGAAAGAGCTGTCACTTGACATATACATTATGGAGAAACTAGCTGTTGACAATATCTACAGGCAAAGTTTGCTCACACGAATTTCACACGAATCTTGCATGAAAAATTTCACATGAGATTCACCTCAAACGAGCTTATACATGAAACTCATGTTAAAATTGTCATGTGAATTTCATGTGAATTGAGATTCACATGAATATCAAGTGAACTTTTTCACATGAACTTTTCCAAAAAAAAAAAAATGATATTTTTCATAATTTCACGTGAAAAAAAAATCATGTGAGTTTCACATGAGATTCACGTGAAATTCACATGCACTGATTTTACGTGAGTTTCACGTATAAGCTCGTTTGATGTGAATTTCACGAGAGATTCACATGAATTTTAATTCGTGTGAAATTGATGTGAGTGAAATTTCCCTATGTAGGATGTTATATGGCTGGTGTAGATGCAGACTAGGATCGACTGACACATATGTACATTTTAAATTCAATCCTTTTAATAAAAATAAGTTAAAAAGAAAAAAAAAGTTTGAATAAAAAAAAAAAATATCAATCAATAATAAACTAAAACAAATATTTTCAATTATTTCTAATTAGCAAAAAAAAAAAAAAAAAAAAATGACATCAATTTACATGAAACTGTTTTTAAGTGAAATGTTAACTAACTTTGATTTAAGTTTAACTTGTTTAAGAATATTTAGTTTAAAATGTTATTCATTTTGATAACATGACTTACCTATAAATCTTAAATCTCAGGCAGAATATTTTACTTATACAGCAATCTACTTAATCGATGTTATGGCAACGTAACGTCCTTGGTTTAGCGTAAAATTAGAAATTACCAATTATGGGAACTGTCCAAAAAAAGGGTAAAAATATTGTGTAAGTAAGTGTCCTAAATGTTACAGATGTCACTTTGGCAATCTCGATACTTAATAATTTTCCGGAAAAATATTTGAAGTAGCTCAAGGTATACAATTAATACCGATAACGAAATGTTTACCTTGTTTAAGAACATAAAACTTATTAATAATTGTAATATCCCATACGTCGAAAATTTATGTCAAAATCTATCACAATGTAAATACCTTTAAAGCTACTGCATGTACTACATGTACTAATGGGGTCTCTCAAACACATCAGAAGCACAAAGGATCACCAAGGAGTTAAATACGAGCACAAATGACCTAAATGATGTTCGCTCCTCTGTTTCAAAATAACAAGCTGTTTAGAATATAAAAAGAAGATGTGGTATGATTGCCAATGAGACACCTCCCCACAAGAGACCAAATGACACAAAGATTAACAACTATAGGTCACCGTACGGCCTTCAACAATGAGCAAAGCCCATACCGCACAGTCAGCTATAAAAAGCCCCGAAATGACAATGTAAAACAATTCAAACGAGAAAACTAACGGCCTAATTTATGTACAAAAAATGAACGAAAAACAAATATATAACACATAAACAAACGACAACCACTGAATTACAGGCTCCTGACTTGGGACAGAAAAGACTGTTATAAACTGACAGTATATGATTAAAGGAACTAAAAAAGCAGAAAAAAACTAAGGGTCTGTGTGCTTGATTTTGAGATATAAGCATTTGAAAATTTGGTGGGTAAGTATTCTCTCTAGATTTTTCTTCCATTTATCATAGGCACCTTTTTTCTTTCAAAAACTATGAAAAAATGACAAGGATTTTATAAAATATGGCTTTTCAAACTATATGTACTAAAATTATGAAAAGAAAAGTAGAGGTTGCGGGCAATATTTTTTATTAGCACTCCATGGATAAAACTAGAGGATTCCGAATATCTGACAAAAATTCAAAAACAGGAGAAGCGAACATCCTTAAAATCCCCTTTTTGCAAAGAAATAATATTATTTCTAAAGAAAAAATGTTTACAAAAAAATTATTATAAAAATAGGGATTTTCAATATGTACGATTTGATTTAATGATCGGTACCGGTTCGGTCCTGGTTATGTTATAGCTTATATTTGTGAATTTATAAATAGTAATAGAATAATACAAATGATAGTAATATCAATTATTATTGTTCATATTTTTGTTGTTTTATTTTTTAAGCTAGTCAAATGAGCATTTTTCAAACTAAGAAAATTTGTTCATTATTAATTACGATAAAGAACATAAATAGAAACCTATATTTTGCTGTTTATTTTTTTTTTTTTTTGGGTATACTATGTTTTCTTATACATGGAAAGGAAAAATATTTTAGCAGTGTAAGAATACTTTCATTTAAAACAAAAAAGTTAAAACTTTATATTTTCAATGGTCATTTATTATGATACTCAGATGATATATAGGATTTAACAATTATAACATATATCACCAAAAGTTTAGACACTTGAAATTTTTTTTCATATAATTTGGGTTTTGTCCTCACTGCAGTTGACCCTGGCTGGTTGCTTCCTTATCAGACATAAGGTACGGCAAAACTATTTGTGGCTCTCATCATGTTTTCATTGAACTCTTGTCAGTGGCTAGTAAATGCTCTGCCATTAGAAATCGTTGGTAAACAAGTTTCACGAATAAATATTATCATCCTTTCATCTTACGAATAGGGTCATTCATGTGCGAAATTTACATTAGCTCACACATTTCAATGAGTTACATTGTAACAATACCTATACATTGTTTGAAATATAAATAATGTTTTGATGGCTATAGAATATGAATAAAAGAAAAGAAAATTTGACGTATACGTCAATGAGACAGCATCCCAACGAAACAAATAACCAACCTTTGTTAGTCTTGTATGTTTTTTTTGAATTTTAGTTCTATTAAATGTTTCGGAGTTTAGTGTGACGTCCATTTTCACTGAACTAGTACACATTTTTGTTTAGGAGCCAGCTGATGCCCGACTCCGGGTGCGGGATTTTCTCGCTGTGTTGAAGAGCCATTGTTTGCCTTGGGCTGTGTTCTGCTCTTTGGTCGGGTTGTTGTCCCTTTGACACATTCCCCATTTCCATTCTCAATTTTAATCAAATTTAAGTCTCATATTTCCGTGACAAAACAAAACTAAATAAAATCAAAAACAATGTTTACTGACAGAAATATCAGTAAATGCACTAGCAAACAAGCACTTTAAAATTGTACTTAGAAAATAAACACTTTTACATGTATTACATGTTTGGTTCTAGTCGTGTTTGGGGTTATGTTTAATATCTCAACACATTTCTATGTAAGCACATCATATCAAATGTACACATGCCTGGAATATAAACACTGTTAAATGTGTTTTAGAATTAAAATGTTTAGGATTAAAACACTAATTTCTAAACTAAACATGATCCTTAACACAATCCTAAAAACTTTCTTCCATCTCAACACATTGAAACAGAAAAACGAAATTTGTGTTTTTAAAAGATCTAAATACCATTTTTTACAGTGTAGGAAAGGAAACATTCTAACTGGTATATTTGTTAATTTACTAGTCTTTATAGTTCAAGTTACTGATCTTTCTGGTTTATTTACTAGTCTTTCTGGGAAGTTTACTTTCTATCTAGTAAGTGTTAGTAAAATATCTAATAATCCCATGGGCAGTAGGTTTACTTATTTACCTTGTAAATATTATTGCAATACTAGGTATTTCTTTGGTTGTAGTTGTTTTGTGGGGAACTTGGCATAATGCTTGGAAGTTTATAACAAAATTCAATATAAAAAAATACAGAGGAGATGTGGTATGATTACCATTGAGACAGTTATCCACCAGAAATCATAGGACATTTATGTAAGCAACTAAAGGTCACCGTACGGTCCTTCCCCTTTCGAATTCTGGATCCGTGTCTGCATCCTATAATAGTTTACATCGAATAAATAGACTATTTTCATATGATCCACTTTTGACTTCGGAGTATAAAATTGTTCGACAGGTTATCTATGGTAGGACTTTCGTGAACTCAGTCAGGTAAGAGTAACTAAAAGAAGTAAAATCAAGTTTACAATAGTCGCAATTTTGATAAAAAATAAAGTTTTATGTTTTCTATACACGACAAAACCATCGGAAAACTGTTATCCCTGTGGCACCGTTAAAGTCCATAATTCCTCTAAAGTCCACAACACCGCTATTAAAGTCCACAACAAATTTTCGCTAAAGTCCACAACGCCGCTAAAGTCCCCAAAATGACCTCCGCTAAAGTCCACAAGAAAACGCCGTTAAAGTCCACAATAACAAGTTCCGCTAAAGTCCACAAAAAAGCACCGTTAAAGTCATCACATTTTTTTTTATTATTAAAAACATCAATTTTTTTTTTTTTATCCCGTTAGTACAATACAAAGCATGGGCCTTTCTTCCCGGTAGTTATTTGTTTATCAGTTTGATAAATGAGAAAAGTACAGTATCTGTAGATGATTTTGTTCCATTAATTTTGATCTTTGTATTATGATCAGATGATGATGGCCAATTTGGACATCATTTCTAAAAAGTTCGTAAATTCGTTAGTTATTAACTTATTACATTATTACTGCATTCTTCAAGTACTGTTTTTTTTTTCTTATTCTTTGCATATAATCACTTTTTGACGTAACTATTGTACAAAGCAAACGTGCCTCCTAATCTATAACATTTGAACGGCATTCATTCGGACAACAATCTTGATTATGATTATAAACAACAAAAATACTAAGTATATGAATACCCAAAGGTCTCCTGTCACAAAACTTTTAACCAACGTTTAAAACGTTACTAATTTCGGTGTTGGTTATAGAAAACAACGAAAAATAATGTGTTATGATTTTCAGAACGGAAAAATGAAGCCAGTATGATAAATTCGAAATAAAAAAAAAATTCTATGCTATAAATTATATTTTTATCGATTAGTATAGGATATCGATGCGTTGAATGGGTGTCTTCCAAAATGTCACAATAAAACCTGATTTGAGTACATTTCAATGAGCCAGCAACTCAACAATAAATGTAATACATTTTTACACCACTCTTCCGGAAACCAAATTGGAAATTTAAATATTACTTGCATCATACTTGTATAACATTAATATCAGTAAATAGAATATTGATTAGTTTTTGACCTAAAATGAATTTACACAAAATTTCGCACAAAAGTGTATGTGT